CTCTCTCTCTCTCTCTCTCTCTCTCTCTCTCTCTCTCTCTCTCCCTCTCTCTCTCCGCTGCTACGGACGGTACGGCGGCTGCGGTGCATGCAAGCTCGCCAGGGGCTACGTGGATTGTACTACCCCCGAGCATGAAATGTGCCCCCTTGTTTAATAGGATTTAGTATGGGCTTGTATATATAGGAAATTGTATGGCATGGGGGGGGTGTACTCATAGTCGTGCATGCCGTAGTCGTTAGACCATTGACCTCGCATCACTACAAAGCCGGGACGGAGCACGCCGGGTTCTCACCGGACCAGGCTCTCACATCACCACGCGCGAAGCGCCGTGAGGTATTTGGCGAGTCGCATGAAGGGTGAGCTGCATCCATGGCATGGGGGGGGGGGATGGGGCCTTCGTACTACCCCCCCCCCTCCCCGGAGAGGTCAAAACAAAGCTTTGTCGGTTAGGTGTCAGAAGAAAAACAAATGTGCGCCCTTCCCTTTTTCGATTGGCTCTCCATAACGTTTGATTATTGTACGGTCACTACTGCTGCAGTTTGACAACGTCCACAGACGTCCGCGGACGTCCATGTACGCGTTCATGCTGTTGCCATAAACTGGTGAGCGTACCGGGAAGTCGACGTTTTCCGCCGTTTTTTTTTGCGTCGAAAGTTGTTACCGCGCGCTCTGTCTTCTTGCAGCCACTTCCGCCAAACAAAGCCGTTACCACAAGAAAACATTTGACGTTTGTTGTGTAGAGTAGTAGGCGGGCGTACTCTACAGCCGACGTATTCGCCATAGTCTGTTGTTAAGGAGGGCCCGATTCGCAGGGTATCCGTCGATTGACTTTTTCCAGAATCGGTACACCTTTTTCGCGGTATGGCACGACAGGACCGCCCCGCCTCTGTGCCAGCCTGAAAAACCGTTGCCGACCAAACAACTCTTCGAATTTTTACTACTGTAGCATCCAGGGACGACGCGACTACGGTATCTGCGCTGCCAAAAAAAGGCAGAAAAGACTGTTGTAGTATATTTAGAATAGCCTATCTATGTACCAGTCTGTCCCGGAATATAGTGCACATTTGCCTATCAAAAAATTATCTCTGCGCCACCATCGAATTATGAGACGCGGGTTCGAGCCCCGGAAGCGTCATTTCTTTTGCTAACACATTGAACACTTTTCTTTTTTTTTTCCGCTTTTTTCTTGCGGCCGAAGTGGCAACTTTATTTACGTGTCTTTTATTTTCACCGGTTGGAGCTATTGAATGTGTTGAATTAAACCAGGCAGGATCGGCACAGGAGACTAGGGGGTGAACGGACAACACAACTGAAAAATGGACAAAAAAAACGATTTTTTGAAGTCGTATCAGCGTGTTGAACACTGTTGATTTTCCTTACCAGAAAACTCCTGGGAAACCGGGTGGGGGATGATAACGATCCATCCCCGCTTTTGAGATTGGGATTTCACAGTTTTCTTTCTTCAACAGGATGTGGGAGTATTGCTACCGAGTGTCAGGAGCCAAATACGTGTTGATCATGCTTAACTAAAATGTGCACTATATTCCGGTTTTCCAAACGTGCACTATATCCCGGGACAGACTGGTAGTTGTGGGACTCGCAATGTCTGCCAAGATGCTGGACCTCGCAACTCTGTTCACGAATGAATACGGGTTAAGATAAATTGGGCGGTGATTGGACGACGACAGGAGAGACGATTCCGCCCTCTCACACACAAGAATGGAGGAGGTTGCTCCATGCACAAAAAAAAAGGAGCATTCGACTTCCTTGACCACGGAAATGATCAGCGAGAGATTGTTCGTGAGGGTGCTAACCGAACATTGACAGAGGAGGTTACCAAACTTCAGCTGGAGCATCACGTAGTATTCAGTTAGTTGTCTACAGCCGTCTGTGTCCCTAATCTTGTGGTTCGGTGCTTCGGGATCCTACCAACAACCTCCTCTCTGTTTTGGCCACCTATTGTTAGAATGCGAGGGGCCAAAATTGAAAAGTGTTCGGACGAACGAAAATATATGTCCTTCATCTGATCAGTAGAAGAAAGTATTGGCAGTCTGGCATCATCGCGAGGCTTACTGGAATTGGCCCTTGGCACTACTGCGAACAGAGTTTCCACGTATTTCACATTTTCGACTTCCATGCTGCCCACGTTCTCGTTACATCTACTACTCCAACTAGGTAATCTCTCTGGTTACATCTACTACTCCAACTATGGTAACATCCCCTTCCGACCGTGCGTACTCGTCTGCATTCTTCACAGTAACAATCGAGCACGGCATCATCCATCCGAGACGTGTTCTATTTATCTTCCAACCACAAGCCAGTTAACCGTTTACTTCTATCGCGACCCGAAACGAATGCAGACTGGTTATTCTTTTCTAGAATACAAGTTCCAACCAGAAGAGTTCAATTTTCGGCAGGAAAAGCCAAGCCTGACGAAATCTAAACCAACAAGAATATGACTGATCACATCAGCCCTCACCACACACCACACCACGCGAAACGCCACACCTCTCTTCAAACATCCCACCGAGACCTGAGTCGTGGGGGCAGTTTAGTTTAATATTTTGATGCCAACGTTACGCAGGTTGGTTGATTAGCTTTTGCGTAGTCGAGCCGACCTCCTCCCTTCGGCCGTCCCTCGCGCCCCTATCGAAGAGACGCGACGCAACCGATCGGGACTTCTCTCTCTCCTTCTCCAGTGTGGCGCCCTTTGCTTCATCAGCAGTCAGGAATTGTGTCAGACCCCTTTGTGAAGTCTTTACCGCGGTCAAGGCAGCCGCCTCCGAGGCTGTTTCCGGTCCATTCGGTGTCCTTGGATTTCTCAAACTCGAAGGTATCGACGTTGGTGAAGACGTTGTCTGTGCGGATTTACGACGAGCGAAACAAGGGCAAAAGCTTAGCAAACGTGCCATTCAAGTCCATGTGTCAGTAGCTCAAAGGTCTTGGTCTGGGTGCTTGAAGTTGTGTGCTTTCAACAATGGAGGGGGGCCACTCAATCTTAGTTCCAGCCTGCAGAAGCCATGAAGTTATTGCAACCTACACAAGTCAAGAAATTTCAGCTGTCACGTGAAACGGCAACAACCTTTCGGTCAAAACGTGTGATTTCCTTTTCCCTCCCACGTATCACGCCCACAGTGTACGTAAGTCATGTTGGACGTCATTGCTAGTCGCAATCCACCTTAGCTCACTTTTGAATATGTTGTCGTCTCCCTCCTTGCCCAAGACGCCGATCTTTGTGTTTGACACGGTGTTGCCTTCGAACTTGTTGCCCTTGGGGCGACCGTTGGAAACATCGGGCGAGTCGCTCCCCTTGTACGTGTAGAGGCCGTACTTGCTGATGTTGTCGAACGTGTTGTTGGTGATGTCGTTGTCTCCGCTGCCGAGGCTAAGTCTGATGCCGTACTTGCAGTTGACGATACGGTTGTCGTAGATGTCTGCGTCGAAAGACTCCAAGAACGCGATCCCGGCGTCATCGTTGTCGTGGATGTAGTTGTCGTAGACCTTGGCGTTGTCGGAGCTGCGGTGGAGGAAGATGCCGGCCTGCCCGCCGCCGTAGACCTCGTTGTCGTAGATCTCGACGTTGTTGCATCTCTTGGACGCAATGATACCTGTGCCAGCCGTGCACACTCACAGTTAGGTCTCAAGCTATCATGCCAGCGGCTTCTAGGGTCGGGTCCAAGGTCGAATCGCATGCGATGGGACATATTTGGCTAGCTTGAGACACGCTGACACCAATGGGAAAAATAACTAAACGCGTTCACAGTTTGCAGGGGCATGCCCTGCACGAAGTCACCCATCCAAGGCCCAACAAACCCTCTCTGTGGTAGAAACGTCTCTGTATACACAAACGATGTGGTTTGGTATATCTGACGGTATCACTGGGCGATTTATTGGTGCTGCAGCCCAACTTCAGTATCGGTGTCTGGTCTCACCGTGGTTGCCGTTGTTGTAGACCACGTTGTGGGCGACTGCGAGCGGCGGCGGTTTGCATGGCCAGCGTCCGAAATGGCGGGTGCGTGTGGGCAAGACAAAAACACGGAGGTAACACACAACCGTTAGTGCGAGGTTCTGAAGAGACGTTTGGTATCGTCAAGGACACCTCCCACCGTGCAATAGGTATAACATCTTTCGGTTCGGGTACCAACGGTTGATGCGGATAACTTACTGACAAGGTTATCCGAGTCGTCGTGGGGGTCGAAGCCGTACTGGACGTTGTCGTGCATCTTGTTGTTGGTCCACACGCCGCCCTCGTGCCCGTACGAGTACATGCCGTAGTACATTCCTGTGTTCGTGACAATATCGAAAGATACAACGAGGACACATTCAGAAAAAATTGACACGGAGAAAGAGACACGAACAAGAACAGGTACATTCTTCAGTACACGGCGAAACCGTTTGTTTGGCGTGCTACGACGAACGCCTAACCTTGTTATCACAATGCTGTACATGGTAAAAGAGCGGAACAATCGCTTAGGTGTTGATTGGCCCAAACGAGGTACACATGAACATCGAAGGTCGGCATGTTCTAAATGCAACACACAACAACGGCTGCAGCATGTATGATGCCCGCCGCATGCTTACCGTAGATGTCCGAGTTCTTGATGTCGCCGTAGACATTGCGCTTGTCGAAGAGCTTCAGGTTGGACAAGTTCTTGCACAAACCGCGGACCTTCCATGTAAGCCCGTAGCTCTCGGAAGCGTCGTAACCCATGTTGCCCATGGTAGAGTCGATGATATCCTTCGTTTGTTTGTCAGCCGACAGAACCGTTGAGTAAAATTGATTTTTCGTCCGGCAATATCCGACAGATGAAAATGAGTTACGTCTAACGCGTTCCGTTGCCTGTGACTGTTCTATCGATCGAACAGGCCGTGAAGATGAAGTCTGATTGGTTGGAAGTGCCACTACAGTAGTGTACATGGGTACGAGATTGAGTGCAGGTTCGTGGAGTTGCAACCAACGAGACACCTGCTGTGGTATCTTCGATTCTAAAGGCACGGTACGACTTGTACACGAAACTCACCATGCGACACGTGCCCATATCCTTGTTCGAACCACCGCTGCAACTGTAGTTGTCGTCGTACTGGGTGATGCAGCGAATGAAGGACCGGCCCTCGTTTTTCTTGTACTCACGCTCCTTGCCCTTGCTCGTGTCCCACGAGGTGACCTAAAATCCGGCAGTCATCATGTCGAAGAAAGTGAGTGAGCAACAATTATTATGTCGCTCAGTACAACTAGCTGTCTTTGGTTCATATAGTACTGGCGGGGGGAGGCACCGAACTACTTCTGCATTTGGGTCGATACGAGACTGACGTGTGGTGATTCGACGAACCGCGGCTGAGGAAAGAAACCTTCCGCATCAAAGCCGTTGCTACCCAGTCGTCATTGACCACTTTTCGAGGTCACGTGCTGAAGACTCCTCCTACCTTGGTTCCTTCGAAGTACATGTTTCCTCCGTGTCCGAAGATTTCCCAGTACTTGGAGCCCGTGGACTGTGACGGGAACATCAAGAAACAGGAGGTATTTGGTCAGCTCGACACCCGTTCCATATCTGTGCCATCATGACAATCGACTGGCAGTGAGCGACATAGAAGCACATAGGACCGTGAGTCCAAGCATTGTTGAGTGAAGCAAAGGGTGCCATCCTGCGTCAACTCCAAAAAATATGAGCGCGGGAGAACAAGAAGACCACAGTAGTGTTGCGCGTGTTGAACAAAACTCGTTTAATAAAACGTTTTACCGTATGCATATCCGAAGTTTTTTTCTCGATTTCTCTCACGACGTATCCAACTCCCCTGCGCTCGAACACGCCTCATGTTCTAACCCCCTCTCGCACCTCGATCCGAAGCACGTCGCAGTCCCCCCCGCGATCCTTGCCTTCCACGAACAGCGTTGCGTCGTCCTCGATCTTGATGTTTGAGGTCAAAAGCCAGCGGCCGGTAGGTTTGGCCGACCCTCCAGCTCCGTCAACCTTGTTGTCGTTCGAGTCTAGCACCCAAAGCGGACCCGTGCCGTCCTGGGCGTTGTACAAGTCGGTCAGGGTAGCGCAGCCGCCACTCTTGAAGTCTGAGTTCACAGCGAAGAGACACGCACCGGAAACACGAGCGTTGTCAAACTACATGTATGTACCAGATAGGTTGTGTTAGCCAAAGTGACACGGTCACCTTTATGTGCCAAGACAAACACGGCCCAACACCAAGCGCCAGTTTAACCACCTCGGAGCCAACAGGTGACGTAACTATTTACGTTCGAACGCCGTTTCGCTGCTCAAGCGAAACGATGCCTGGAGATAAAAGGGGATGACCCAGGCACAGTTCGCTACGTTTCACCTGCCTTCCAGGAATCAGCACCAGCAAAACGAAATTGTTTCGCCTTCAGCACTCACAAGCCGTGTCCTTGTCGATCTGTACTGTGGCCTTCGTGTCGCAGCCGGAGGGGACGGGAGTGGGGGGCGTAGGCGTGGCGCTACGAGGCGTCGACGACGGTGAAGTTTTGGGCGTGGGCGAGGGGACAGGAGACGTCTGCTCGGGCGCTGATGAGTCGCCTGCAATGGAGAGACAGACGGCCACACAGGCAATGTACATGGTCACGATTCACGAAAAAAAATGTGCGTGGCACATGAGTCAAATAACGGTCATCGAAGGAGAAAGGGATTATTGAGCGGCCCTGCAGACAGCCATGGCCAGAGCAACATGCCAAAGGGTTGTTTAGACAACATTCACTCCGGAAGGTACCGAACTGTTGCCCGCAAGCATCGAGATGCGTGTGACTTCAGCTCAGCAGCGATTCATGGCAACCGAAATGACCATCCAATACAAGCATTCTTCTACATTAGCCCACTCTCTCACCGTCCACGAAGCATGGGGCCTTGCCGGTAACCGAGCACAGAGGTCCACTCTCTTCAATCTTTCCGATGCAGCAGTCGCTGTCTGTGAGTCCGGGCCTCTGGCTACATCCGGTGCCGCCGCACGTGCCACAGCCAGCCTACCGAGGAGGAGAAGCACAAGGGCCGTGATCAGGAACGCAATGGAGACGACACGATCTTCCCAAGGTTTGGGATGAAGTCACAATATATTATCAATGCTCAAACAAATACACGTAACCCACTACTGTTTTAAACATCGTCATCATCGAAATGCTTGAAACGGGTCGGCGAGCGATCCACTGTCGTCACCAACATTTCACTAGCGGGGATGGTTTTCTACTGCTCTCTTCGGCCAGCGACTACCATGCCTGAAGGCGACATCAAACAGTGTCGAATGATAACTGAGTCGCCAATCGTCCACACAGAATATTGGCACCAATCAACGGAAACCCGGTCACCGTTCCGCATGACGTACCGAGCAGCATACGTCGCCCTTGAGGATCCCGTCGCACGTGAACGACCGTCCGGCCGTGGACGAAGGGGGGGCTGGTGAAGGCGAAGAGCTGCCTTCGAATGCATAGATTTGCATCTTGTAGAAGCCCCCACAGATCTCTTCCGCGTCGCCCGAGCATTGGAAATCGCAAGAGTCGTCGTCCACTCGCCCGTGCTTGTCGTAGTCGTCGGAGGTCCCGCACCAGCACTGCAAATTTTATAGGGTTGTGTGTATGTGTTGTTGTTGATGTTGTGATGCCGTATCACTATCGACAACCACGGCCAAACGGGGGCGGGATGTGTAAAATAATGGTGCTGTTCCTGGGGAGCGAGTACGAACAGGTCATCACCAGAACGATATTTTTTTACTTCTTCCTTTTCGCGGAAAGTATGTAAGTGTTGCCTGAATCCGGGTGATTGAGATGCCACATTCAGCGGTGGGTTGATAAAGTTTTGTTTGTCCATTCTCAACGGGTAGTCTGGAGACTCGTCTGTTTCCCCGCAGATTGTGACAAATCAGTAGCGTTGCCGGGGGTGGTTACAATTCTCACGAACCGTACAGGCGTCGTCTCACAATCGTGGGCGTAGCTCAAAATGGCGAACAATGCATGAGTGGCTTGTACCGTAGATTTTTTCTCACCTCACGTCCCCATTGCAGTCCAAAGAACGCGTAGCCCTTGCACTCGTTCGCGCACAACTGTTTTTTCATCGTTCCGGTTTGGATGGCGGAGAGAGACCAAGGCGCAACACAGCATGTATGTCACGAAGCTATACAGTAAGTGTGGGGGGGGTACAGTAATACGGATGGATAACAACGACTCGCACTCGTACATCATGATGATATTGGTACACAAGATGAACAAGCTCATGTTTGTATGTTGTCACATTGTACCACGGTTGTTGCAGGGGCGGGGTTCCACCGACAGTTGCTGCAAGGACCTGCTAGATACGTCACGTGCGAGCATGATGGTGACTAGGAAGCGCACTCTGTGAAAGCCTCTCAACGCTGGCCGCAGCTTAATTAAGCGAAATCAATGAGCGATGAAAAATTACATAGATCTCGCGCTTCTTCAGACATGAGCCCGAACCATCTACCCTCCTTCCCGAACCCATGACATCGCCTCCTATTAATTTCTACATACCCATACCCCATACCCCGAAATCTGCTCGGCATTGTTTCACTCTCTCCTTGACGTTCTCTTCCTCTCGCAACACTACCGTAACATACCCTACACTCACTTCCGTGGTCATGTCATCCATGGTCGTGACATAGCTGAACAGGCGGTCCGGCTCAGGTTTGTCGTTGAAGCACCCTTCGTACACGAAACCATCGGACTCCGTCGGCGTGGACTTGGACGGGGTCGAGTCACCTGCTCCAATAGACGAAACGCCCATCGCAACATCATCAGGCAAGTGTCGTAGAAAACTTGTTTGAGTACGGGATGGAGATTGAGTCGACCGCGAGATGGACGACCCGCCGCTAGCAACACCTGAGTCTGTGCGGAACGTCTGTACGGAACGTCTGTGCGGCTGGTCGGCCGCCGTAGACATGACTTACCGTCCAAGAAGCATGGGGCGTGGCCCGTGGCTGAGCACGGAGCCCCTTGCTTCAAGATGTTCTTCGTGCAGCAATCGTCTCCGGTGAGGCCAGATTCCCTTGAGCTACAGCCAGAGCCGCCGCACGTGCCACAGTCCGAGACACAACAAGCACCGCTCTTTTCGATTCCCGGGAAGCCGTTGCTGCACTTCTGGGCTGCTTGATCGTTCACGGCGTCAGGAATACGGCAAGGAACCGTTTCAGTAGCATGCGTTGGACTGCCAGTCTCGAAGGTAAAGTGAGTTTTTCGAAAGAACGTGGGGTGCGGTCCAACAGGCAGATGCGGCGAACGACATGTTTGTTCAGTGCTCAACCGTTTATACGGAGTAGTTGTTATGCTCTCCCGTTGCGTCTCAGCCGTCAAACAAATAAGGACGGCGAAGTACCGTTACACGCGACGCGAGTCGTGAAAATTCACAATAGCTCACCAGCGGCAACCCCCACCGAGAGCATCGGCAGAACCAGTTTGGAGAACCGCATCTTGACCAGGAGGACGAGACGCCGACGAGGTTGAGCGCTGCGAGATTCATGTCCGTGCATAAAGCATGTATGGCAGCACGTACAGTAGTTGTTGTTGGCCAATTTTTTTGTCATGGTGATCGCGACTGTTGTTGTCAAGTTTATTCACCAGTCGCGGTGCCGGTTTTGTGCGAGATTCACCGACAAGCGACACTTTTACAGACAGAACCTGAGTGCCATTGATCATCATCATGCTTTCGAGAAAAACATGAATGTATTGTCCAAGAATCTGTGGCAACAGAATTCTGCCCCGACGCGACGTTGTGTGTCCTGGTGCGCTTGAGGAAGCTGCTGGTACGATTGACCACTAAAGCGTTTGTCGTTTAGACCGAGAAGAAGCATGTCACATCGTTATTGGAGAGTGGTTCGTGCGGAAAACAGATGGAACAAAAGAGATGCCCAACAAGTATCAACCACACCGCTTTCGTTTCGTGCCTGACGACTCGCCACCTACAGTATCTATGTAGTCTGCTGCAGCTTCTCCTCAGGTTGTAGCAACCAGTCAAACTGAATTTCAATACAGTGGTTACCATAATTTTCTGTTGTGCTTGCGTATTCGGCGCCTCTCGGGCCGTTGACATTGGCATTCTCTCCGGCAATCTTGATCACCATACACAGCCCACCATACACACACCCAATTTGCGTAGCGCAGGCCAACACGCTCAGAACACAGATCTCTCGTGAAGTAACAAGGATAGCGAGCTTGCCTGACACCCTACCGGCGCTACGTTGGTACATCAGAACTCACCGACAGGAAGGGGGTCATCTACCGCATATCTAGACTGCAGACTGGGGGTTGGGATTCAGAGTCAAACGCTCCAATAATTGAAAACGATCGCGTGCGGAGAAACAAACACTCGGGACATGGTCTCTTCGGATGTGTTGGCAATCTTGGACAGGCGTGCGTCCAGAGTGGAAGTGGATGTGTACATAGAACGATGACACTGAGTCTCGAACAATTTGTGTGCTTGAAGCAGCTCATGTTCCCTGTCACGTGAAAGATAAGCGCTGTGTGTTCGTTACATATCACCTGGCGTGAGATTGTAGAATGACTAGGATCATGCTCGGCGCTCGCTGACAGCTCGACGTGCATGCTCGGCGCTCGCTGACAGCTCGACGTGCATGCTCGGCGCTCGCCGACAGCTCGACGTTCACCACCGTTCGTTCATTCACTTCACGTCGACCACGGTTACATAGACTGGAGCTTGACACAGAAGCATCCGCCCACCGTGTATTTGGCGAGATCGAGGTGCATTGGCAGCATTCCGGTAAACCACAGCGGACGTACAACGCGCCACAACACCACGCCGCGCGACGAAGTTCTCCTGAAAAACATATAACAAAAAATCGATACCAAAACTGCGGAGAATGGACGTGGATCATCGGGTCAACTAGACTGTAAACCACACGACCAGTGTTTGTCACGCTCCGATGTTTGGTGGCACTACCGAGACTCACCTCTCGACGAGCGAGTCGTTACTCTTGAATACTGTCGAGGTTTCGGGCTGGTGCTTGAGAAGAAAGGAAAGGGGGGTGTCGGGTTGTGGAGTGAGGTGGGATGTGGGTGGGGGATGGGAGGTGTGAAATGAGAATGTGAGAATAAAAATGTCCGAACAGCCCGCAGAAAAAAAAAAAAAAGAACCCTTCTTCGGGAAATCATTTACTACCGAGTAGTCGCGTAGCCATCACAGAAACCGAGATACCAAGGTGCTACTATGACTACGAGCCGTGGCTGTCCGGTGCACATAGTCTGCAAAGCAAGACGAAGGCCAACTTTTACACCCGCAAACAATAAGGATGCCGGCTTCAGGGTCGCTCGGTGTTTCCGACCATATGCGCGAGAGGCTCAACCAAGTCAACCGGCTCCATCGGCTCAACACGCTAATTTTTGTTCCGGCTTCATCGCCAGCTCTATATCCTGGGTCCCGCTGCACACGAGTGCGTGCATCTTGTCGAGACGGAAAATCATGATTGTTGGCGGATATTGTTGACGGAGGTGTGCGGGGGAGGTGTATCACAGCCCGTCTGACTAGCAGAGCTGGAAATCGACGTCCAGGCGCACGCTTGCCATCGCTCAAAGTATGTTCGCAAGTAGTTTTCAAGCGATGGCAACCAATATTATTATTCTCGATGGAACCAGCGTGATTGGGAGCCGAACAAGTTGGCAGCAGCATCATTACTCAAGTGATCTGGGCATGTGATTGGTTTTTAGTTTGCTGCGCGATGTGATAAATTGCATGTAGTGCAGTCCTTCAATGATGGTACAGTAGCAGAAAGATGGTTCTGCAAGATACAAGCAAGACATAGTCTAAGTAGCCCGTTATCGTACATCGTAGGACGCGCAGATGAGAAGGGCGCATTGCACGTAATAATGCTGGTCTTTTGTAGGCGTCAGTCGTGGAAGCACCCTTTGAATCAGTCGCGTTATGTTTTAGGGTGTACTGGTGCGTGGATCGGAACAGATGAACTATCACCCACTTACACTGTAGTGCCTCAAGGGTGGTGCGACCAAAGGAGAACAACGCACTTGCGCGTTACCCCTCCGGGAAAATGGCGAGAAAGATGCGTAACGCCACCGATCTCCATAGACTACACCTAGACGATCACATAAAAATAGATTGCCGTGTGCCCACGGCCGCTTCCCCAACGTATTGTTGGTATCATTGGAATCTTTCTATTATTAGCCCATTGTGCTTGGTACCAGTATCTAGATGATCACATCAAAAAAACATTGATGTGTCCTCATACCCGCCCGTTTCCTATATATTTTCCTAGAGTAATACTTGACGATTCTTTACCAGAGAAAATTATACCTCTAGGCTAGAAGTTTCTTCGAATGATTCACACGCCCAGAAAAAATTGAAACGTGCTTTGCGGGGTGAGATAGCACGTGGCGATCAATTACTCCGTTTGCGCGCTGAAAGATAAGCCCAATGGCGTGTTCGTTTTAATGGAACTTGTGACGTGGATACTCGGTTGTTATTCGACCACGATTGCGCATACTCAGTTTGCCCCTTCACACCATTCGAATTCCCCTCACATTGCATGTCTATTGTACTATGCTCTTGTACCGACTTCAGAGTTGACACCTTTGCTTCTATTGGCATATCTGCCTATTACTGTACAACATCTCTCCACCGCCGAAGTCTCTTCACCGCTAGTTCTCAACTCAGACCAACCTCTCAACATTCGTCCAACAGTTGTTGCGCTATCGTTGTTGTTGGTTCCACGCACAACAGCTGGACACTATACAGCACGTCCTTCCTTGTCGTTGGGGAGGCAAAGACTCAAGCACACGTCGTAACGGACGACACCAAAATGCAGCACAGTACCACAAAACACCAAAACCCAACAGATAATAAACCGAGAAAAAGAAACAAAAGCACCCAAGATAAAATTGCACCGCTCGCGAAAAATCGACAAAAACTAACAACAGCACCGCTCGCGAACAATCGACAAAAACTAAGTATACAATCCCGGGAGGGCAACGTGGAACTCCACTTAAGCAGCATGTATTCCAAGTATCCCTGCAGCGCCATTCTCAACTGCACGTGCAGGAAAACCTACTTCGTGCACCGCGTTGATTCCATTAACTGCTAGATACCAGCGCCGATTGTTGACGTCTCGACGCTTTCCGTGTGTGTGCGTCTTTTCCACGGCATCATAAAGTACAGGATTACTCCTTGAAGACCACTTCCTTGCCAATGGGCCACTCCACGGTGTACTCCAGCGGGATGGAGATGTCGTCCTGAGGAGCTACCTTCAACACCCACGCCTGCGGTCCCGCGGCCGGTATGGTTCCGTTTGATGGCCGAAAACGATGCACCAAAGAGGGGTAATGGAGAGAGGTGGGGGCGCGACTTGGATGCAGGGCATGACGTTACGTACAGAAACGGATGTGCAACTCTGAACCCAAATCTCGAGCCTGTGCGGAAATCAGCACCTAAGGTGCCATTCACACCAAGGGGAAAGCAATCGGTTGTGGCATGTAAGGCAAACTTGGCGATGCCACGCACATTCAGTAATTGAGAGCACTCAAGCAACGCGCTGCTCTACATGTGTCCCCACCCCATCTCAAGCGTCCGGCCACACCCCCTACTGTAACACTTTGCCGCTGTGCCTCAATCCCCCGCTCTCTTCCCTCTCACCAGATGGTTCGTCGGCCCCTTCGTAATTCCGGCGATACCCGTCTTCACTACCTCTGGGGCTGCCGCCGTCGATCCCTTGGTCGTGCCACCGTCATCTTCGTAATCCTTTCCCTGTCCTCCGAACATCGCCAACCCAGCGTCGACCAGCGCCTCGTCATTCACAGCCTCCACCGACTCCGTAACCTTTGCAGGAGCGGGCTGTTGAAGCTTGACCTGTCATGGTTGCAGTTGTTGCCCAAAAGGGAGATCGAGGCGGAAAGCGCAGCATGTTCCAGTCTGGTTCACCTACCCTTGAGCAAGGTTGAATTTGCGTTGCGTAAGCCTCAGGTCTTCCAAGGTTTGCTTGATCTCTTCCAACACCTCGAGGAGAGCGGGTGTAATAATGTAGCTATCTTTGATATTCTTGAAACCGCTTTGGCATCCGCAGACTCATCGCGAAACAAAGCGGCATCAATCGACCGGCACACCATACGGCGATCGCTGCCTCCAACAGTGGGAAAATCATTGCCGACGTGCAGTTCGGTTTCAGCTGCAGTGCCCGTGTCGGGAAAAATCGATTGGTGCTGAAAATTAATGTTTTCCGGGCTTCAAAATCGAAAAATACAAAGATGTGCCACCCATCGCTCCGAAAGGCCCAACGTCGCCCCCCAACTCATCCCAGCTCCATGTCAACCCTGCTCGCTATGCTAGTCCTGGGATAAAATGTGTTGGTCACAAGTTCTCCATGCTTGCCCCAAGCCTGCTCACGCGTGGGTGCACAGTACTCCGTGATCATGTTGCACCAGCCACAACTCTGGTGAGTGAAGTTCATGACCGAAGCAACAAGATCAGAGCACACCCACCTTGATAATCTCGTTGGTGGACAGCGGCAATGCCTCAATGACGACGCAAGTCACGGGCACCTTCTTCTTGTTGGAGATAACCGTGCTGAACAAACGTGCGTGCACATAGTGCCGTCCACATTACGAAGAGGGAACTTTTAGTCAGAGCGCGCGATCGCGACCAACAGTGTAGTGCCGCGAAAAAAGGACAGAAAACACTTTTGCAACAGATGGTTGGTATGGCCAATTTTCGTGGCTAACGAGTGAGGGCACACCGTACGCTTGTCCATGAATACCAAAACCGTTGTCTATGAACCACAGCGTGAACAAAACGACTCCACCGGGGGGGCTACAAACAAAAAATAGTATCAAGTGGTTCGGGGTCATGCTTGGAGCATGTTAGCCTTACGGCCATGCGGGGGGTCGCAGCAAATATATGCCGGGGCAGCAACCCTGCGTGGTACCTTCCGCAAGAAGCGCGCCGCTCTTCCTAAGCAGGTGAAGCAGTACACAGCACAGGAACAAACGCATGAAATGTTCGTACACCGCCTTGCACTCACGTGCTACACCGAAACGTTCATGGCGACACAACCCTTGGCGCAAACCCGTTCAAGTCAACTAGGCAAGTGAGTGAATGACCGGGGCAACAATATCGCCAAGCCTTCCTTCCACCTCGCAACGAAAGAAATCTTTCGGCTTCCACCTGTGGATATGGGCGACGTGGTCCACCTTTCCGAAGAGCCCCTTCTGCTTGCTTGTCTTGCGGGGCGGTGCAACCTTCACCTACTCGGCGCACCGTTTTACATGGCAGGCACGTGAGGAAGCAAAGAGGCAGAGACATGGGGGTGAGCGTTCCCGGAACGAGCGGGGAGCGTGGGCTACTGCAGGGTTGTTGGCGCCGACAGGAGAAGGAACAAAAAACTGCCGGGACACTTTCCCCTGTGTCCCTACGCTCTCGCACCCAATTCACACCACACCACAAAGAAACTAGATGGGCTTTTGTGTCTGCTGTTCTCATAGAGCACCTCAAAAAGAAAACCTTGCAAAATCGTTGCGGGTTGTTCTCTTTACTTTAGAAACGCACCACGCGGAAGTTCGCACCTTAACGGCGGGGTCGATGCCTAGGAAGGTCTGGAAGGACTCTCCGGGAGAGACGGAGGTGAGGCTGGTCTTGGCGACGAAGCTGTTGTCGAAGAAGATGGACACGTCTTCGCTCGCCAGGAGTAGATAGTCGGTGTTATTCGTCGCCTGGGGCACACGTTTGGGAGCCGTCGTACGGTGGTGAAATGGACCATTCAAGGCACAGGAACCACAAACAGGTGAAACGGTGGTCGGTCGAACGAAAGCCGAAAGGGGAAAGGGGAAAGGGGCCGGATCGTGTGACGACGCCTAACGTTCAAGAAAAAGGCATTTCCACCACTGGTGCTTGGTCGATATCGATCTCAAACGCCCAAGGCAACATTCCTGGGCGAAACCGAAAAAGCTGCATTCCGAACTGGTTTGGCCAACCCAGGGTATATAAAAAAAACTATCAAGCTAGGTATCACATGAATACGGATCTCACGTTGGCCTGTAGAAAGGCGGTGGCGTCCCTTGAGGGCACCACGTAGTGGACGACATCCGTGGATAGCTGCAGTACTGCGACGGACAGCTTCGTGGACTCCCCGTTTCCCCTGCAGCAGCAGCAGCAGCAGCAGCAGCAGCAGCAGCAGTAGCAGCAGGCCAACGAGAGTATGGCGGTGACGAGCTTGACACACAAATCATGAGCATTGCCATGGCTGTTTGAGCCAATGCTTTTTATGTGCTCGAGAACCAGTGTCCGCACCAAAGACATGCAGGGTACGGACCTAAAAAACGCCAGTCAAGCTACCGCAGCCGTGTCCCCGACTCATGAAATTGCCTGCTTTCCGACCCCGACTTCCTCGTACTCGAGCCACTAACCATCAATGCTTCCGATGTACATATTGCGAACCCCCCCGTTGAACAGTGCTTGCGCAGGAATCACATACCAACCCCATGTCCGCTCTGAATAATCTCAACAGTCCAACTCCTCTTCAAACCTGCCTCACTCTTTCGTGCTCTAAGCATAGGCACGTAAAAAGTATCTCACTTTACGGTGGCCGGCTTCTCGATGGCAAACGTAACGGCACCCACTCCGCCGCCCTCGACCTGAGCCACGGCGGGCTTGGCCTCGGGGGGGGGCGGAGGGGCCGAGGACACGAACTCCTCACCCGTCCCTTCCTCTGTCGCTGCCGCTATCGGCCCCGGGGCACCGAAGCCAAAACCGAAGCCACCGACGGCAGGGGTCGCCGCAGCACCTGCGGCACCACCGAAGCAGGTAGGGGCCGCCGCCGCACCGGCCGCCGCCGTCGGCGCCGAAGCAGCAGCACCGAAAAAAAAACCTCCGGCCTGCGGCGCTGCCGCAGGGGCCGCCGTCGCAGGCGCCGGAGTAGCATCGAACATAAAACCTCCGGCCTGCGGTGCTGCTGCCTCAAACGTCTTGCCGGCACCAGGTACAGATGTCACGCCAAACAAGTGCGCACTGGCGTGGGAAGGCGGAGGCGGCGGCGACTGTCTCGAGCCGACACGCGGGGGGGAGCGAAAGGCAACGGTGGGCGCGAATGCGATGTTCCCGGAGTCGTTAATTCGCGCTGCCATCCGCAAATGAATTCGACAACGGTGAGGGTTGCGGGAACTTGCCACGCGCGTTTGCTCGCAACGCCGCACCTCGTACGACGCAAGCGGTGGTGTGCGTGCGTGGTCGCATGTTGGCGGCCACGAAGCTAACAGCAGTGCTAGCACGGCATCGATGATACCTGGCCTAGCTGGGAGAGTTTAGGTTCCTGCCCACGCGGCGGTGGCGGCAGCTCTAAACCGCTGGTATGGCCCTTTGCGTCTTCCCCGATGAGTCAAGCGAGGATTCGAAACAACGAAAGCACCCTATCTTTCCTCGAAGCCAGAGTAACTCACGATGCCAGCAGCTGCGAACTGAAGCGGCTTGGAAGAGCACGAAACACACGCGAGTCAACCCTCTTCTGACCTGTGTCGGGGCAGCGGCGGTAGACTTGAGGGACACCGTCTTTGTTGTCAGGAAAGGTGGGGTACTGCGGGCGGAGGGCTCGGCCGTAGACAGCTTTAACGCCACGCCTGCGGGGCAAAGACGGGATTGGAAAGATAGAGTACACGGGGCATGTGCCACGGGCGTAGTTTGGTGGCTCAGGGTCACCGGCAATATGGATATTGCGCCTAGTGACTGTCGAAGAACAGCCGACAGCCAGGATCAGATCCGTTGGTAGATACGTAGAACACGCCGACGGGATTTGATTGTCATCAGGACGGTTTTGTTTAGAAGTAGACTCGATTGAAAAGAAGAAGGTATCCTACAGAGAGAAGGGTACGCTTGTCTCCTCGACGAATAGCAACCCGTCAACGACTCTGTGGGGGGGAAAAGGACAGAGAACAACGTAGGTGGAGGACTGCTCCGCCGTTTCGGAGCGACCGTGTTCGTCGAGCCCAAGCCACAAAGAAAACGGCCTCTACTGTACTGTTTTGAGCAGAGGGGGATAGACTTAGAAATAGGGAAGACATCAGGCGGGGATCGCAATGCCCATCGCAAACATATAGCCTATCCAGAAGGAAGGTTGGCCATGAAGCTACAGGGAGGAGGCGTGCTGTGCTGACAAGAACATGGCGGGTTTGACGAGCCGAGCCCACCTTCCCAGTCCTCGTTGGTGCTTTGGGACACCCTTCCGAAGTACGTGCACGACATGCAACCCGTCAGTGCGTCCACGCGCAGGCTGTACGATGGCAACCACGATGCCCGTTCGCTCATGTAGGACACCTGCGTCAACCAGTAGAACACTTCGAGTCAACTCATTCAGTCGAAATCGGTTTCAGGGAGACGGGTGTCAGACGAAAAAAGATAGCGGGCGGCACATGGGGATCCAGAGCAAGCAACAAGGAAGGGTGGGGCAGAGAACAAGAGAAACATCGAGGCGAGGGTAATATCAAATCTCATAAACGTTCACGCAGAATCGTATCGGGACGACCTCAAGAAATTCGCTTGCCAGCCGCGTTCTTGTGCCGCATGTTTTTTTCCGAAACCTGCCTGTCTTCGCATCAACGCAACGCTGTTCCAGCGCCGACTTCGCGAATGCAAACTTGCTGCAACCACAAGCCTGCACGTGTGATTCAGTTTGCGGGTCGGCGGCTGCGTGCCCCTAGTTGTACCCCAGCGTCCGCCCCGTACGCATGCGGCATCTCTTTGCTCCATTATCTTTTCATCTCCCCCCCCGCTCCCCCCCTCCCCCCTCTCTCTCCCGCCCACTCTCTCCCTAGCTCCCTGCCTCTGCCTCCCCTCGTCTCAACCCCGAGCTTGATATGCACGTGTTCAACCACGTCTGCCAGCGTGGAGAAAAAAGTCTCACCCGCGTTCCGACAAGTGTATGCATACCTCCAACTCGATGGGGCACAGCAGCTCCTCTACATCGACCGTGACGACCACCTTAGCCTTCGCCTGCGGCTTCAGCTTGGAGAACGGCTTCGGCTTGGAGAACGAAAAATTTCCCTTTGCAGACGCCCTTCCACCCCCAGCCTTGGCGGCAATGTAGTGCTTCGTCAGAGCGGCGTGCTCGTTGTCTAGCTTCGACATCGCATCGACCACCCTTTGTTTAACACACGCGTAGGTTTCGTGCAAATACGACACGGTGGTGGGCATGCAGTGCGGTGGGGAGGGCAGGGGCGGCGTGTTCTTTAGGACTTGCACTGCTGGTGATTCCATTCTCCAGCAGAGCAACGTAGTCACCAGCAGAGCATTGAATCAAGCGTCGACTTGCTTCTCTGTATTGAAACCACAAACAGGAGAAGGGTAGGCAGAGGCCGCATTGCATCTCACCATGGTTAAGCGGGGCACAAGCCGCACACCGGACAATCACACAGGAAGAGGTAGAGAGAGGACCCAACGCCGTACAGCGTGTTCTATCAAGTTCAAAAAGTAGAGGCAAGTGTGCAAATGTGTGCGATCCCTTTCTCTCTTCCCTGCCTAGTCGCACAGATTCACACACATCGCAACGTTCCTTGATCTCTCTCTCTCTCTCTCTCTCTCTCTCTCTCTCTCTCCCTCTCTCGCCCTCAGCTCGGCTGACCGGGTATTTGCGGCGGTAGAAGACAGCCTCTGTTTCTCCGTCTCTCTTTGTCTCCAACTCTCTGCCCCTTGCCTCGCTCCCCCCCCCCCCCCTTCTATCTATCTATCTATCTTCCTCATGTTCGGTAATAGGTGCTTATAAAATCCGTTGCTACGTCAATGAAGTGGTCGCGACTGTAGTCGAAAGCACGTAACACGGACCCTAACAAGTCCGTTTCTCTCGCGGACAAGCTACGGCACGAGACAACAACACTGTACATGGCGCACCTTTTTCCGTGCACCGTGATGCGGTGGCACCTCTCATCGATATCGGCCCTTTTGCTTTCCCACCAGTCCAGGGCGCTGCTAACACTAGCGATGTCCATCGAGCCTTGCGCGGCGTTCGCGGCGGCGGCAGCAGCAGGGTCGCCGTCCCCCCCACCCCGTGCACCAGAAACACGCCCGCCCACGGAAGGCTCGAACGCCAAAGTAGCCTTGTCCACCACCCGGTCTGCCAGCTGGAACAGGAAACGACAGCAACACCAGCAACCATGTTCAAAAACTTGACGCGTACAATGCTAGACGTTTTTCGGCACTGTCAAGCTTACTTTGTGGCAACAACCTTGCTCAACTACAATAGTTGCTGGCATACTACTACGACCAAGTTCACACCTGGCGCAGTTGCTCGGTTCGATAGAGTTGCGTCTCGAGGACGGCGTGGTCCTCCTTCAGAGCCTGCATCTTCGTTCTCAGTGCTGCCACGGCCTTCGCCTGCTCCTGCTCATTTTCCTTCTTCTTGTGCGGGAGTAGAAGGGTAGGGGTAGCCCGCGTGAACGAGAGGGTGTGCGTGGAAATGTGATTGGGTGTTGAGGACGGCGGGTTGGTTCCGCGAGGAGTGGCAAAGGTCACTGCCGTACGTGTACGTTCGTGATTGTGCCGTGTCAGAGCCCTAAGAAAGCAGAAATATCGAGGATCACAGCCGTGACAAAGGCGAAAAAGGCAAAACACCGACACAGAGACTTGATCGACCTTCTCTGTCCGGCACCTCACCTGCGGCAATAACTCTTCTCTCTGTTTCGGAAGCATTAATTTATCGCGGTTGCGTCGAATAATTTTGGTGCTGTTGTGTGCCGTTAGATGTCCGAACTATTAATATTAGATGTACCCTGTACCCTTTTGCGGTCAGGTAGCCTGTGGCCACGGAAGGCGGCTGCGTGAGATAGAACAGTGCGAAATGTGGAAGGTACTGAGTAGAGATCGACTTTTTTCGGTCTCAAGACACCAACAACAACAACGACAACAACACTACCTGCACTGCTCAGATGCCGACAAGAAAAAATCAATGAGCAGCTTCCGCGATACAAAAGTCCAGTAGTGGAAGCAACAGCCCCCACCACGCGTACAATTCTTCTATGAGTCAAGACAACAACATCTCAAAAAAGAGGAAGAAATGCGCGGCACCTAAACATAGTACTACAAGCTTACAGCATTACCTCGGAGGGAGTAGCAGAGGATAGAGGTTTGTCTTCGACTGTGGAGTCATCTTCGGAAAACGAGGCATCCAGGATGGTGCAGTGGCCGGAGCCCTTGACAGTAAGGCTCTGCTCCTCGATGGAACCATTCCAAGGAAGCCCGGTCAGCTCCACCTACAGCAGTGAGCGAACAGTTCAATCGTCGTTGAAGCAATGGCAACGGGCTTTGCTGCAACCAGCACTCGAGCGTTGGAGGCGGTGTGAAGGAGGGAAGACTTGACTTGGGGATGGATTCAGTCGCGTTCGCAAGCGCTTGTTCTTGAAAAAGTGCACAGCATGGGTCGACAACTGAAAGGAGTCTCTGATGAACAACTCCTCATCGTTCGTGATCCTGCCTGGCAAAGCAGTACACCCAAGAACGCGATCATAAAGCGTACCCCGAGGAAAAAATAAATAGAATCTTCAACGAAAAAACAATTGGAACCGAGGTCACAACCAATACGATATTTTGCTAGCAAGTACTTCCAAATGTTGTTCTGGTATACTAGCGCTTCTGCGGACGCTCCCGTTGTATCCAACCACCTCGCAGCATGGCTAGGTATCTGCTGCCTTCTCTCTTTCGTGACCACAAACGTCGGTTTCTACTGAAGATGAGGCCAGAAAAGTCTTCAAAAGTAGGGGCCATATCATTCAAGATCCCAGCTGCCTTGAGCGATTAAGCGACCACAGTTCGGGGGATTGATTGGGTTTGTAACGGCACGTGGAGCATCTTGGGTGGCATGGACTCAGGTGGCGGATTGCTGTGCAGCTGCAGCCGTCCACCGCGCCGCCCCTGCGACATGCCAGCACGCACGTAGCTGTTGCATGAAGTCCTCTACTTGTATCGATGTTTCTGCCGGGAGTTTCACAACGCCAATAACCCGCTTGAGAACCCGCCATGTTGCCTGTTTTGGCTTAAAGTTAGGACGTCGGAATGTTGTCTTGGGTTTGAGAGGAGGCGGGTGAAGGTATTGAGGGTTTTCGGGAAAAAAAATCGTTTTTTCTCAGATAAAATCGCCCAGACAAAAATTGGCATCTAAGAGATCGAAAAGAGGCTCAAATTGTTTTCGGCATCACGTGGCTCCTGCCCTCCGTTGATTGGCCGAAAGATTCGAGCGCGCCGTTCCCACGCCGCTTCTTCCCTTGTCTACACAAGAAAGAAAATAGTAGGTTGGCTGGCTGCTGCCATCTATCATCCAAGGTGCCAGGAGCATCTTTCGGTGATGTTGTCACCTCAGACAAACACCCTCAAGGCTTCTTGCAAGTAATCTCTCAGCCGATCAGCTTCTTGTTTCAATCAAGCGAAAGAGAGAGGCGGCGATTCAGCGCCAGCTAATTGGTAGCAGCAGCAACTTCAACCTTAAAGAACCCTCGCACAGAGATTTTTAAGCATCATTCCAAACCGCAACAGCTGTCTAGAGGAGGTGGAGCTGTAGAGAGCAACAAAAAGCAACTTTGGGCCACCTCCTAGCAGTTCGTGTGAACTACAGCTGATGGTCTGGGTGTTCTTCTGAACCGGTTGTAGGCAAGAAGAGCTGTGGTCTGTTTTGTTGAACCGTGTCTCATCCCACCCTTCCTTGCCGGTTCCACAGTGACCACCGCATACTTACATGTAGACACCCACCGCCCGCATCGGGGGAGCAGCTCTGCCCAGTGGTGGTGACAGGACGCTCGGACGGGTCTGTGCCCTGCGATGCAATATTTTGTGGTTTACTACAGTAGCTCCCGCTGAGAATCTGAGGCAGCTGAACAGCGACCCATGCCATGCCATGCCTCAGATATGAACGTGGTGGGGTGGTCTATCTGAGCGATGGGCGGAAAGAGGGACGTCTCAGACCAAAGAAACCCTAAAAAGATATACGAGCGACAGCTGATAGATGTAACTGTCGTCAGACGTGTGCGTCCACGGGCGGAAACAGAGTGCAAACACCACACACTTGATACTACACCTACCTGCTGTGCTGTGTGAGAGCTGTGGTAACGTTAACTTTCACCTACTGGGTACCCCCCCGCCCCGTTCATCCTCGAGGCAGTTACACAGTGCTTACAACTGTCTCTGGAAGTGAAAGCACCAGAAAATAAATTAAGTCATACGTAGCTGTCATCCGTACCCAAGGAAGTAAGCACAAGA